AAAATTCTCTAAAAGCATACAAACTTAAAAAAATAACAATTTAAAAAAAGTGTCCACAACTTTTTTGGCCACCACTGTATCTACATGAGTGGGAAGCATTTTTTTCTAAATTATATGCTAATATTTATTGTGATTTAAAATGGAACAGGATGATTTCCACATATACATTGATCTCTACTTTCTCTGTCTTAGTATATTTCTATTGATCGCTTTGCTTTATTAAATTTATTGCAATTTAGTATATTATTATGTATGCCAAAAATTTTTTACAGTACAGTAACATGTCGAATAATGATAAAGAAATTGTAAGATATCCTACTTTTGTTGTAAAAATATTAATATCGTAACTAAAAAAGATTAAATTTTATTTAGAATGCCACCAGGTTGACTCTTTTCTGTGAGAAGCAGCTTTTGTGGAAAGTCAGAGGTCGGAGGGAAATGCACTTTGGATTCCCAATTCAATGGATATTCATTGGAAGCTTTTGTTTCCCACTTTAATTATAATTAGAAAAAGGTGGGTAAAAATACCTATAAGCTTTTCTGAGACTCCCGTTGCCTTCGTTAAGGTTAAATTGCGCTCCATTAGTCCTCATTCCATTTCTTTTATTATTAAGAGGTGAATTTATGTACAAAATGAAGGGCGATATAGATAGTAGGAGGCACCGTTCTTCCTTTGGTCGCATTAAGGAAAATGATAACCCTTTCTTATCACAGTGTAAAATGGATATATTTTATTTTTGAGTCCAAATTCGATTAGAAAAAATTTTATGAAAAGTTTTTATTCCTTTCACCTATATTCTCCCAAAAGTTCCGATACTTTTTGCTGTGGGTTACTATAAATTCGTTCCTTCTCTTCCAATGTTCAGCTGTCTTACTGAATTTAATTGGATGAATGAATAATTCTTCCAATGACAGAAAAACAATTCCTCTGATCACAACTAAAGCTCCGCACGTCTTAGTTGCATTTGCTACGAAAATTAAAAGCAATTCAAAAATTAATAATAAAAGGCAAGAGAAAAAGGATGGCCTGAGTTTTTTTTCATGTGAACCCTAAATAAAAATCGCATTGATAGATAAGCTATATTGAACAAAAAGCTTAATTTAAAAGCCGTGTTAACGTACTCTGAAGATTTTTTTTTTTTTAAACTCTCGAGTCACATTTATTCCAACATATATCGTGACACCATCACATTTTGATATTCCTTTACCAGAGTATTTGCTATTGTATGTGCGAATGTCAAAAAAAAAAGAAACGATAAGAACGATGGGGGAAGGAAAGATGGAACGGTAGACCACATCTGACGCTCATTCGCGGAGGAGGCCGGTACCGCCCGTTGGGCCACCCCTACATCCGGGTACCGCCCCTGGACCGGAGGGGAAGACCCGGGTGCACGGCAGCAGCGGTTGCAGTCGTGCCAGTGCAGTAGCAACCGTCGCGGCATCTACTGCACCACTCTTTGCGGAAAAACTGAAAATATCGTCCTCAGCGAACGCCGCCGTTCCGAAGAACCCCTCCGGCGGAACGATGCGAGACCACACCGCAGTCACTGTGTTCGTGGAAGGTGCGTACTCTTTTATTTTCCTTTTCATTTATCGCCGGAAGATTTTGTTACAAAGCTCTTTAACAAGAAAATTTAATTTGAATGCAGTCGCTTTATTCAGCGCCATTGTTTTGATTTTTGATCGGCCACACGATGTTGGAGAAGCGTTCGTTTTAAGTTGTAAGAATGAGCATTAACTGCGATGACATAATTCACTCCATTTTGGAGTGAAGAAAAATTTGTCTTGGAAAAGCTAAGTGATTTCTTCAATTCTCATGCGGTTGACAGTCATGTAACTTTAAAAAAATTGCTGTTAAAATGCCTATTATGCATTAGAATTTTATTATTTTTTTTAAACTTTGCATGCGAGAGACTAGAAATAATTCAATGGGAATGATTAAAGTTTCTGTTATAATAACATTTATATTAACATATTTAATGCTGTCAAAAATATTTTGTGTGTGTGTGTGTGGGGGGGGGTAACAAACTTATCATTTTTAAATTAACTTAACTTATACATTGATAACTTTTGTAGTTTGTTTAAATTTTCTTTTACTAAGATTGTTAAAAGCTTTATGAACACATTTATACCTAATTGATTCTTTGTCAGTGGTTGTTCCGATGTGTTTACATTTTTCGAAGCCCTTTTCAGTCTCGTAGACTTGGCCGGCCGATCAGATGCATTAACTATTTATTTAATTCGAATTCTAATAAAATGTGGTTTGTAAAATCACATTAATCTCGTGTTCGATTACTTTAGAAATGACCTCCCTGCGTCCTTTGAAGAACACATTCAAGTTATTCTTTCTTTATGTGTTTTTATGAAATGGTGTGTGGAAGCAGAGTTAATTATTTATGAATTCCTCTACTGCAAAGATGCATCATAAAATATTTACTGAAAAATATTACTTTTGAATCAACCCCATCGTAAAATAGGTTTAGTGTTGGAATTTTTTTATATAAATTATTTTTTATTCCTAACGAATCGTTTATTTTATTTTTGAAAATTGAGCTTATATGGGGGATTGTTTTCATTTATTTCTTTTTTAAAGCTGAACAATAAGAATATTTCTTTTTGTTTCATTCCAGAATTATTCGTCATATGATATTGATACAAAAAAAATCAGATTTAATAATTTGAGGGGAAAAAATGATGAGAGTATTGATTGAATTTTTCTCCGATATGTTTATTTGTTCAATTCTCATACAATTCTATTGTAAAATTTGTACTTTTATAAAGATCCAGATCTTTTTTGTTCCTTATCTTTGGGAATTACGATTATACTTGTCTAAACTTTTGATGAACTTTATTAACCTTATTTATGATTTCAAGATATTAATTGAAATTGTTTATTCAGGGCATTTTGTCTGGAATGTTCTTCACTTGCTAAACTGAAAATTTAAAAAGCAATTTTTTTTATTAGTGAATTTATTTTGTGTTGCTGGTTTCCTCACCATCGAACTGAGGTAAAACTTCTTTTCTCATCCAATCATGTCCTACATAGCATTGTGGAGATGAGAAATCACATTTTATGCCCAAGTGAAAAATTGTACAAAATTATAGAATTTGAGAAAAGGGACAAACAAATTCAGGAGTAAATTAAGCAAAATCCATGCACCCCGATGAAAGTAACGTTTTTTTAAAGAACTCACTTTTTTTTTGCAAAATAAGTCGTCACACAAGTCTCATGATATTTTATGCGCATATTACCAATTATATCGATGTATTTCTTTTTAAAATTTCTAAATTTTTTTAAATGTTAAATGAAGGAAAATTGCACGTATCTTCTAAAAATATATATTACAGGTAAAATAAATTTGTACTTGTGTGGGTGATCTGATTGTTGTTCAATCACGATCGGAAGCAAACTTAAATTAAATGTGCTTTGTATCAGTTTTACAATGCATTATTAAATACTTTTCTTAAGATTTAGGATTTGGGTTGTAATTATTTAATTAAGTATTTTATTAAGTAGAAGTATTTAATTTATTTCATTATACTTAAAGGAATCCGTCATGCACATTTATTTCTTAAAATAACATTCTTTTGTTGTTAAGGTAATAATATTTCGAATTAATATACGTTAAAAAATAAAGGAAAGGATAATAATCTTATAAAATTAAGTATTTGAAAAGATTTTTGTGCTAGCATAATTTAATGCTTTGTATGTAAATCAACAAAAAGCTAACTCGGACTAATTTGAAACGTCCAGTGGAGGTGTTATAAAGTGAATGATATTCATATATTTTAAAAACAATAGCCATTTTTAAATATTTTATGTTGAAAAAAAGATTTTTTAAGACAAAATCTTTTTTTAAAAAAATTGAGACATCATTTTTTCTTTTGCCAATCGTTTTTATGGATAACTTTTCATAGAAATTAATATTCTAAAATACATGATTAAAATCGTTTTTAATGGATATCGGTACACTTTTCTACGAAAATGTAAGTTCATTGAAATCTTTACATTCAAATCTTAAGTTATTTCAGTTAATTAAATACATTTTTAAAATGTAAATATTTGTTTTAAGAGAATAATGAAATTATGTAAAAAGTTTCACATGCAAGCTTACTGAAGGAGAACGAGATTAGATAGGCTACTTTATAAAAATCAATTTAAGTGACAGTTAGGGGAAGGGAAATGTGTAATGCTCTCAACTTGATTTCTAGCTTATGGAACTATAAACAGCATAAGATATAGAAATTATCTTATGCTGCTTAGAGTAGCATGAATCAGAGAGAGAACTGTGTTTTTCACACTTCTGTGACTGTCCTTTTATTGAAAACTCGAGTGTTTTTGCTCAAAAAGAATTGCTTTCAATGAATGATTTGAGAATGACATTTGTAATGGTTGCTGCTCAATAGAAGCTCTTCAAATAACATTTCTCATTTGTCGAAAGTATTATTCTAACGGTTTTCTAAATATGACCCTAGATTTTAAACGTTAGCAACATCACTATTTTTAAACTTATAGTATAAATAACTTCAGCCCTTCCAGATTTTTTTTCCCTTCAGATTTTTGAATTTTTATCGTTTACTACTTTTATTATGATAGACAATTTTTGAATTTACATTGTTCATTTTAATATAATTTCATAGTTTTTTCTTAATTCAATGAGGGTAAATTTTGATCATTAACCTTTTGTTTTTGCTATAGTGATAGTAATTTACGAATCACAGTCTAACTAGTACTTGCAATCTTTGATAATTTTTTCAATTCCTATTATTAGTTCACACTCTCCCTATATATAGGTCAAATTTTCAATCCTTAATAAAATACTTTCTATTCATCCGTTCAAGTTCAAATACATCTTTTAAAACTTGTAGTGGATGACACTTGATGTTAATACAGTTTTTTAAAAATATTAATTCAGTAATTCTATTTAATTAAGGAATAAATAGTAACAAACAAAAATAATAGTCCAACACCATATATAAAAAGGAAAATAACTCTTTGTGTCCCTGTAGCGCAGTTGATAGTGCTTTGGACTACTAATCCAAAGGCCGTGGGTTCGAACCCCTCCAGGGGTGGCCTAATTTCTGAGAATTCGATTTCTTTTTACGATACTATTTTATAGGAATAAAATTAAATTTAATTAATGAATAAATAGTAGCAAACAAAAAAATATTAGTCCAACACAGTGACGTTTACAAGGGGGGGAAGTCCTCTGGTCCATACCCCCAAAGCCCTTGATTTTTTTTCGATTGAATATAACTTTATGTATATAGTACGTAAAATTTTATTAAGTATTTGTTATTAACACAATTAAGTTTATTAATTACAATAATTATTCATTCAATTATTAATTTTTTACTGTTATTTGTTCCCGAAAATCGACAAAATCCAAATAATATGTTAGGGGGCGTATTGGAGCATGATACGATACTAGTGGACTTTCGACCCTGCCCCCCCCTCCTTGAAAAATTCATGGGTGCGTTACTGGTCCAACACCATATATAGAAAGGAAAATGGAAAATTGAGAAGAAAATCGCTTTCTATTTTGTTATTTAATTAAAAAGTTACTAAAATAAAAAAATTTCTTTGTTGACCTAAGTAGAAATTGACATAAATTTTTTAAAAAAATTTTATATATATATATATATATATATATATATATATATATTACTTGTTCAAGTAAAAAAACATTGGGGAGTAATTACATTGATGGAAAAATATTAAATTTTCCTAAAACAAATTTTATTCTATTGATATAAATGATTATATATATTTTAAATGCGTCCTTATTTAAATAAATTTCTTATTCACGCAATTATGTTGCGATTTTTTATTTAGAAAATGCCTAAATTTTTGTTTTAACATTAATTGATATGAATTATTCTTAGAATGTATCTTTTTTTTTTAATTTCTGTCTTTTCGTGCATTGATTTTCATTTTTTTCTGAATAAAACTCTCTCTTTATCCTGCACATTATGTTTAGATGGATTATTTTTATAGAAATATTCATTGCGATTCCAGAAAGTTGATAATGTTCCTGTTCAAGGGTATTTTATCGAGAAATTCAATGCAATCTTATTGTAAAAAGTATGAGAACAGGATCAATAATTTATTTTGTAGTGGATTATCACTCTTTTAATTCTGGTTTTGAATTGATGTCAGTTACCTAAATTATCATTATATATCATATTATATATATATATATATATATATATATATATATATATATATATATATATCATATGTTATTATATATATTATATATTATTATACATTTTAAAAAATTCTTTTACTTTTCCACCATCATCTAAAAAATTTAAAGATAATTTTTTTCAGTCCTTTAATTTAGATTTTCAAGACCTTTTTAAAGCTTATTGAATTAATTTTTGGAATTTTGTCGACTGCATTTTTTAATTATAAGTAGCAAAATTAAGTACGAGTAAAGCAATTTTTCTTCCTTTGGACATCTGCCTACCATTCGAAAGTGTTGTTGCGAATATATTTCGTCTACTGTGACACTATAGATATTTGTAATTTAAAATATGACTTAATCGTTATAAATTAATGAATTTATCTTTTAATTTCTGATTTCTTATTACTTTTAAGACGGTCTTCCTCTTCTATTATAAACAACTTTTTGAAGCACCCGACTTATAATACTTTTTCAGTTTTAAAAATATTAACTTGTAAATTCCAATACGTTGTCGCTAACAGAAAAGTATACCTTAAACTATTTTGTTTCTCACTATAGAACAAATCTTTTTTTTTTATTCTCAGTATGAAATATCCGTAGGGCCTGGGTTCGAATCCCGAAGGAGGCATGGAATCCTCCATGACTTTAAATTTCTTCTTTCCTTTGTGATGTGTGCTTCATGCTTACTATTGTAAGCCCCCGTGTGATTCTTCGTGGTCACGCGGATTTATAAATGTTCTCAATAAAAAAAAGTATGAAGTATGCTTTTCAGTATTATTATGTTTGAAACAGCTTTTTGACGTAAAATGTTTAGTATAAAATATGTATTTACGTTATGTTTCTGAATTGGAAGACATTGAGAATGGATTTAAAGATAAGAGATAAACCAGTGAATATGTTAAAAGCATAAAGATTTATATAAATATTGACTCATTTTCAAGCTGAAAACATAATTCTTCTTCTTTATATGATGGAGTCTGAGTCATTATTTTAGTCTCCTCAACATAAAGGCATATTTTGTACAACTTTGAGGGCCATTTTTTCCCCCTCCTTTTAAAGAAAGATCATTAAAATCGATTTGTGTAATTGGACGCTGTCGCAACGCGCTGTTTACACGGACCTGTCTGCACTTTCCCCCGAGTCCACGACGCGTCAACGAAGCCTCCACCGCCGCACAGACGCCGTCTTCGATAGTAGTTATTTCTGCCGAAAATAAATATAGGAAAAAGCGACCTTTTGTGGGGGTGACAAAGAATTGGAATCAAACCGGAAGCAATTTTTTCGTAGAGCTCCTTCGGTATTAACATCTCATTGATTTAGAAAATTTTTAATTGAAAAAACAACTGCAATGTTAATTCCTACACTTCCCTTTATAGTTAAGTACTCCTATTGATATACCCATCGATCAACTCAATTCTTTTGTGTGTAAATTGTGCGCTTCTTGAAAACTTTAATGCGAAAAAAGTTTTATGTATAAATGCTCAAATAAAAATACAACAAAATGTTTCAATACTCTTAGGACTCATTGGGGATTGAATGTATTAATCAAACTAAAAAGTTTTTTTCTCTGTTGCTTAAAAATATTTTCATTGTTTATCTACGTTGTTATGGATGAGTGATATCCTCAACCTGTGGCCCTCCGACCTTTTTTGAGTGGCCCATCGCACTAAGAAATTCAATTATTGGAGAATAATGTATAAAAAATTTAACAGAAAATTCTATCAATCAAGCAATCTAATGTATCAATTTGCTTTTTTGAAGTAGAATGTAAGTAAGAGGCTTGATCATAGATGAAAGAAAATAAAAATTATCCTCTAACGCAGTAAAAATTCATAAGAATAAATATGATTGTGTATGTGTTTAATATAGTATTAAAATAAAAGCCAAAAATGAGTTTTAATATTTTAATCCATTTTGTTTGTCAATGTTGCTTTGATCTTATAGTGTGTTTTTTCCATTATCCACTTTTTGCGGCCCGCATGAAATACCTATGATATGTATGCGGCCCGGCGGGAAAAAGGGTTGAGTATAAATCTAAACAGTTTTACAGAAGAATTTTAAAATGGCATAAGTACGCAATAACCAAGCAAAACTATTTCGGCACATCAACCAATAATAATGAATTCATGTAATTTTCCATCTGAAAGTGTGTTCTAAATTTGATTTTAAGTTCTGATATTAAGTGAAGACATTTCTCATGAACGGGCAAGTCTGTGAGTTATGCATGTCCTGTGAATGAATTTTAGAAGATACGCGTATTTAAAACTTCCATAGACTGCTTTGACCCGTCTTTTAAAACATACAAATGCAATTAGCAAAATATGCGAGTAATATAATTTTGGATAATTGTCCATTTTACAAGTTCTAGCTTTTTTTTTCTTTCATGCATAGTTTTGAGAATACTATTATTTCTTTTGTCGCAGTATCTTGTAAAATGATTCATACGAGTTGTTAGAATGCTTTTTTTGAAATTTTAAATAAATAAAGAAAGAAAACAACTCAAATTTGCTTCTTTGTTTATAATTGTACCAATCTCATTCCACGCAGGCCTCCAGTTTCGTAAGCTCACTCTCTCTTATCATTCTTTGTGATGAGGCAAAATAATGTTTATTTTTTGTATCAGTCCATTTCTTAGGCATTTGAATCTCCTTTTTAGAAGACCTTCAGTCATTTTTATTGGAAAAGTAGGTGTTTCAATTCTACACTCTATTATTTTTATTGAATATTTACATGAAATTATTTTTAGCTCTCAATTCTTCGCGATAAGAATATCCTGAATTTATTAAATATTTTGTAGGAAGCTGCGGATGCGCACTTTGGAAATGTAGAGAGCTACTGTAAATATCGATCGATCTTTCGGTGATCACGTGAGGCCAACTAAAACGACTGATTAGTGTGTTTTGGATGACGGGGATTATTAAAAGTTTATTTTATCGTGCACCCTGTGGCAAACGATAAAATAAACACAAGCCTCGCGGTTCCTCTTTGAAGCACCCTTATCGTGACGAGGTGACGAAACACGAATTGACTAATATTTCTCGCAGCCGCTGTGTATATTTTGGAAATGTCAGACGTTTGATTGGGATGTCTTCTATCGAGTACTCAACCCGCAATCGGTGGCCACTGTTTTTGTTTGGATTGGCGAGATTAAAAGTAGCGGCGGTGAGAGCCTTAATTGGCAGCTAGGAGCAGCAATTAAGGGAGATAATTGGCCGCGCGAGACGGCGCCCAAGACGATGGACACTTGGAAAAGAAACACGCAACACAGTTGATTTACGATGGTGGTGAATTCTTCTCCGGATACATCGGATGTGCTTGCATAGCTACGAAATCTTTTTGAAAATAGTTTAAATGTCGAGTAACGAAATGTGTACTGTTTAATGTTACTCTAGCAAGGAATAATTAAAATGAATTGGCAATACTTTTAACCTGGACATGGTAGTGATTTTAAATACGATGAGTGCTGAATGGGTTAACGAATGAAAAGGCTATTTTCTGTTCGCGTGGAAGAGTGCGTAGTTTTTCGCTTTACACCCAGTTGGGTCTTGTTCCCGATCGAAAAGTGAAATATCTGTTCTTCATCATTTCGTTGCGGATTTGAAAGACTCTTTTCCATGATTTCTTTGGTATAATAATTAAAAGAATTAAAAGTAAACTCCGTTTAAAGAGGGATGGAGGAAATGGAGAGTGTTGGGTGTGATATCTCAAAATGCACAACATGCTTACAATTAAAAAAAGTCTCTTAATGCCATAGTAAAATTCTGACGGATATTTTACTGATAAAACCCGATAGCTCTTTCTTGTGGGTTGCCAACCATCCTCACAGAAAGAATTTTGAGAAATTGTAAGTGATGCTGTGTGTAGTGATATTGTAATGTATGC